GGAGGAGGAAACACCATCCTTACGAGTGCAGCAGTGAGAGTACTCCATGCGTCATGCTGTTAATGCCGTCATTGATGCGAGGCCAGTCCTTTCCCTGCAGCCTCAACACCACAGCCTCCAGTAGAACCATACAGGTGAAGTACGGGAACGCCTGCCAGTACACAGAATATTATACATGTAGCGAACGGGAACGGGCGTAAAAGAGTGTAAGTACGCGTAAACAACACATTATGATTCACTGCCAGGTACACAGAACATTATACATGTAGTGTGTGTATGGTCAGAAAAGAGTGTATGTACGTGTATACTACATTACGATTTACTCCTCTACACAGAACGCCCAAGTGTGTGTACGGTCAGCAAAGAGTGTAAGTGTACGTACAGGTATACAACATTATATTATGATTCACTGCTTTACACACAACATCCAAGTGAGTGTACGGTCAGCAAAAAATGTATGTACGCGTATACTACACTATGATTCCTTCCTTTACACAGAACATCCAAGTGAGTGTACGGTTATCAAAAAGTGTACAAACGCGTAAGCAACATTATGATTCACTGCTTTACACAACATCCAAGTGAGTGTGCGGTTATTAAAGAGTGTACGTACATGTATACAACATATTATGATTTATGCTTCACTGCTTTACATACAACATCCACATGTGTGTATGATCATCAAAGAGTGTACGTACGTGTATACAACATATGATTCACTGCTTTACACAGAACATCCAAGAGAGTGTATGCTCATCAAAGAGTGTACGTACGCGTATTCTACATTAAGATTTACTCCTTTACACAGAACATCCAAGAGTGTGAACGGTTATCAAAGAGTGTACGTACGTATGTATATATATATATATTACATTATGATTAATTCCTTTAAGGGGGCTTGCAGGTCGGGTCTAGGGCCTCAAGGGCCGATTTTCACTCACTCTGAGCACTTTTTACTTTCGGTATTTTCTGATCCCTCATTCAGTCTAGATTATATAGAAGTCAAAACACAGGAGACAGTCAGACGTTGTCAGCAGCAAAGCAGGCTGAATCAGTTAACCCTATCCATATGCACTGGGGTAATTTTGTACCCCCGGGATAGTATTCTTCACGTTTTAGAACACTTCTAGTGCAAACATCTCTTTGAAACTTTCAGTATTTCTGAAAAAATCATTTTGACAGACTGCTATGCAAAGCATACAAATCGGATTAACGAGTAAATTTTTTCTTTGGAAAGTGGAGACATAGAGATGATGATGATGATATCCACGTCGTATGGATACGATAGTAAAACAAGACGTACGGACAAGGTTAAAGAGTGGTCTTCTCTTCCAGTCAGTGATGCAGTTCCACACATAACACAAGAACACTGCGCAAAAAGTCTGAAGAGATTACTACCACGACATCTTCCATCGTTGGTGCATCCAAAAATACCTCATGAATATTTATTGAACACTCACCTCATCAACAAAGTTCGGAACTTGCTCCAGTTTTTCATATGATGATTCAGAGGGCAGGACGAGGTAGAACATCGCCCTCAGGTTCAGCAGGAGCGGTTTAGACGTATTCGCGTCCATCTCTGGTCAGTTTGGTATGTATGTCACCTAAAAATAATATCAAATCTCTCTTGAATTTTTGAATACTGCTATGAAGTAGCTTCTGAACTTTTCAGGAGGGTTTCTATAAGTCTGGCTTTGTTTTTGTGAAGGCCGTAACATTTCACGCAACAAAAAAAAGAATAAAAAACAAGAAAGAAAGAAAGAAAGAAAGACAGAAAGAAAGAAAGACAGAAAGAAAGAAAGAAAGAAAGAAAGAAAGAAAGAAAGACAGAAAGAAAGAAAGAAAGACAGACAGAAAGAAAGACAGAAAGACAGAAAGAAAGAAAGAAAGAAAGAAAGACAGAAAGAAAGAAAGAAAGAAAGAAAGACAAAAAGAAAGAAAGACAGAAAGAAAGAAAGACAGAAAGAAAGACAGAAAGAAAGAAAGAAAGAAAGACAGAAAGAAAGAAAGAAAGACAGACAGAAAGAAAGACAGAAAGACAGAAAGAAAGAAAGAAAGAAAGAAAGACAGAAAGAAAGACAGAAAGAAAGAAAGACAGAAAGAAAGAAAGACAGAAAGACAGAAAGACAGAAAGAAAGACAGAAAGACAGAAAGAAAGACAGAAAGACAGAAAGACAGAAAGAAAGACAGAAAGACAGAAAGAAAGACAGAAAGAAAGAAAGAAAGACAGAAAGAAAGACAGAAAGAAAGACAGAAAGAAAGAAAGAAAGAAAGAAAGACAGAAAGAAAGAAAGAAAGACAGACAGAAAGAAAGACAGAAAGACAGAAAGAAAGAAAGAAAGAAAGAAAGACAGAAAGAAAGACAGAAAGAAAGAAAGACAGAAAGAAAGACAGAAAGAAAGAAAGAAAGAAAGAAAGAAAGAAAGAAAGACAGAAAGAAAGAAAGAAAGAAAGAAAGACAAAAAGAAAGAAAGACAGAAAGAAAGAAAGACAGAAAGAAAGACAGAAAGAAAGACAGAAAGAAAGACAGAAAGAAAGACAGAAAGAAAGACAGAAAGAAAGAAAGAAAGAAAGAAAGAAAGAAAGAAAGAAAGAAAGAAAGAAAGAAAGACAGAAAGAAAGAAAGAAAGAAAGAAAAAAAGAAACAGAAAAAAAGAAGAAAACTGATTCAGCTAATAAACTTCCTAGACACCTGAGAGACTATATATAATATCCAACGGTGTACCTGTGCCATCAAATGTTTAAAGTAAAAGTAACCAGATAGACTGACCGAGCGCTGAAGAGAAAAGTTTACATCATACTGGTCAAAGGTGTTCAGTGTCGGATTACACAACAACAGCCTTTGTCCAAGATTAGAAATTATCAGAACTGATATCAGGACAGGAAAGCCTAAGGTGACCTGGATTATAATAAATAACACGTATGTTTATCTACAGGCGAAAACAGCATAGAACAGACCATAAGGCTGTAGTTTTTTTTACACGAGTTGATTAACCAAGGCAGAAAGGAAACCTGTACACAACTCCTAACACCAAAGCATATTTGAATTATTTCCATGCTGTTGTTGTCTATCCAGGAATTATTTCCATAAAAAATCTGATTCCACAATGGGCAGAGATTTGAACCAACCATGCAGAACAAATGAGAATTTAATCTCTCCAACCTAGCTGTCACATATGGCAGGAGCAAACTCAAAAATGATTTTGCCCATAAAAAAAGCAGTACAACTTATTTTTACAAATCCGTTAGACAAGTTATACATCAGTCTGTTGCATTTATTCTGCTCTCACCTCCCTTATCCATAACTCAGTGCTACGTTCAGTTAATTAAATGGACTTTAAAAATTTTTTAAATGATTTCATAATGAATTAACATACACTTCATTGACAATAAATTGAAATGGAAAGCAGAGGAGACCTGTATATAAATGCTAATTTTTACACAGAGGATGAATTCAATAATGTGTGCCTGTATCTCAACTAAGGAACAAAGTACAATTTAATTTACTCTTTATTCTATCTGACCTCACAAAATTTGCATTGTATAATTTTGTGACTGTCATTAAGTGACTAGATCTAGTTCAATTTTCTCTAATGCTTTTGTTACAACTGGAGAAATAAAAATACTGAGGACTTTGGCCATGATCATGACGCACCCATGATTTACTTCTTCTTTTCTATACACACAGCATTTCACAGGACTTAGTCCATGTTTAAAAAAATCAAGCACACTGTCAAGAGTGTTTCCATCCTTGTACTCCAAATATTCACTTCTGTGCATGCCGAGTGAGTGTGTGTGTGTGTGTGTGTGTGTGTGTGTGTGTGTGTGTGTGTGTGTGGGTGTGTGTGTGTGTGTGTGTGTGTGTGTGTGTGTGTGTGTGTGAGAGAGAGAGAGAGAGAGAGAGTGAGAGAGAGAGAGTGAGTGGGGGAGGGGGAGGGCCATTTAAACAGAACCTGAAAAAAAAGAACTTATTTGATCCTCTGAAAAGGATGAGAAAGAGACGAGGGTTGGTAAGATTTATAATACACGAGATACTTCTTATTTCACTAATAGAGTCTAGTAATACTGGCTGAGTGACTGGACTGTTAGCTTCTACACGAAAATTAATCAATTGAAACAGATTCTAGAATCACTTTTAAGACATTATCATATTATATCATATTTATATTATACTAATAAATATATATATATATATATATATATATATATATATATAAATATATATATATATATATATATATATACTTACATTATATTATCATATATATGATATTACTTAATATATCATAGGCTATATATATAGATTTCTATTCATATATAATAATTAAATAGATTATTAATATATAACAATATTATATTATACATTTTATATTTTTATACTGCAGCCTTTTATATTACATAAAAGCTTATTATTATACAATATTGTAATAAATTATAGGCCTAATATAAATCTTAAAAAATTGTCTCTGGCAGTAAAAATAATACTTTATCAAATTAAACTCTGTAGGCTATCAACCATCTCACCTTAAATGACAGGCTAGTGTATAAGGCGCTAGGCCAGATCTTTATTGGTACGATACGGCAAAGCAAGGCCTTCTAAGTGCACAACAACTCAGGAAATAATAGGCTAATCTAGAAAAGTTAATAATTTATTCAATTGTCACCACACCACCTACAAGCAACAGAACGTGAAGTAGATCGTCGACTGACTGGTGACTGGTAGAACAGGAAAAGGCCTGCAGTAGGGCTACAACAGTTTAGTAGGCTGACTGCTAGGCTATTATCATCTGAATATATACCCTGGGGCTGACCTTATTTTCACGCATCGATGACAAACTGACGACACTGTTGACTACATTACTACTACTAGGCCCGGGCCTACAGATGACTTATTGTTGATGAATGCCTCGATGACTGTCTACTGTAGGCCTATAGGCACAGGCCGGTCAAAGGTCAAATCAGATTCTGATTTATTTTTATTTTTGTTTACATCTTTTTACCCAGTGTTTTCACTCGAACCTTGAGATAAATGAACGATTTACTTGAGATTGGTCATTTGTCACTTTTTGCCTTTCCTCAAAGTGTAATTGTGGTAGTTTCCAAAAAGTATGACGTAGTTTTTCCAAAGATTTATTCTTCGTTTATTGTTCAGTGTTTCATCCAGACTTACATAAAAGTTACATTTACTGACCTGTAATTATGGCTGTGGTCCCGGAACTGTTTACAAAGGGAGGCCACTCTTCTTTAAAGTGATAATTCAAGATGGCGACCGCTGACTGGAATCCCCTCGGGGAAGTGTATTACAGGTTCGTCTTAACACAACCTTTCTGTTTAACATTTGCTGGCGATGAATTCGTTATATTTATATTTAGGAACGTCTATTAAATGAAGCAGCAGATCAAAGTTCCTTTTCCCTCTCTAAGATAGCAATGGCGTCTTGCGCAGGAAAATGGACGAGATGATCTTGTGACAAACTCATTGTTTTGATCTGATCCAAAAGGCAACGCCCACTGTTTATGTTTCGAATTTTCATTTTAATGTTGTTATGATTGAGGATGACAAACGTCCATCTGCCCTTTAGATGTATGAAGTTTTCTACTTCAAAAACTTCTTTTAGCAGCTCAAACATGCTTCCTGTCAATATAGGCCAGGGCAGGGTCTTATAATTGCTTTTGTGCACATAATGATTGGGTCGGAGAATGCCTTGTGTGTTGATGGACAGGTGGTAAATTTGAAGATGATGATAGAAAGCTATCGGCATTTCCCGTGTCTGTGGACTGTGGGATTAAAGACTCTTGTAACACAGCAACTGCGATATACGTCAGTCAGTACTTTGAATGGAAGAGGCTAGCCGTACTTAACTTAATGACGGCTAGACTGGCAGCTAGACTTACAGTCTAGCCGTACTTATTCTTAATATGATGGCTAGACTGACCATTTACAAAAAATAGGCCTACTGAATTGTAAATATACATTTTTAGTGTGCAGTACCTAAAGTATTTGTATTTGAGACAAAACCAGGTTCCTTAATGACAGTGCATGTATTTTAAACCTCCTCTGTTTTCTAATGTAAATAGGGCCTAAGATAAGTAGTCTAGCCGTACTTAAGTACGGGTAGACAGCCAGGCTAGCCGTACTTAAGGACGGCTAGACTGTCAGTCTAGCCGTACTTAATATTGATGGCTGAATTGTAAGTGAACATTTTAGTTTGCAATGCCTAAAGTATTTGTATTTCAGACAAAACCAAAAGGTGCCTTACTGACTTGCATGTATTTAAACCTGAATAATTACTAGATCTAGATCTAGTGAGACCTGTGTACTTAACAGGATTGAGTCGATTGGGCCAAACCTAGATCTAAGTACGGCTAGCCACTTTGAATCATTGCTGTTGAAAGGGATTACTCAGTGACTGTTTTGTGAATGGTAAGTTTTGTAAATCCCGCACTAGATCTAGGTGGTCAAAGTTTTCTCTGCTTCTTCAGTACTTCTCTGAGTCAAATTTGAGGGAAGACTGAAGAATACCGGACCACTCGTACATTATTGCACGAGAAAGTGGGGCGGGTGGTTGGGGTAGAGGAGGGGGGAGGGGGGTTCAGGGGGGTTTCCCCCCTGACAAAATTTCAATGAATGGATCTACCGGTCCGAGATTCTCCATTGAGAGATATTAAAAACGGGAAAATCATAAATTCCTAAGCTTGAGACATAGGCAAAATCAGTCCGCTGGTCCGGTATTCTTCAATCTTACCAAATTTGACAAACAAGTAGGGAGCGGTCTATTTGAAGTGTGCACTGAAGCCACGTTTAATCAGCTGGACCCGATCCAATTCTATCCTGCCTATGGGCACCCAGTATTACAAATATATTGTCCTAACTGAAGAGCCTGCTATAAAATATCAATGAACTAGATAAAATCATGTATCAGTCACCAGTGTTGGATGGTCTGGCACATATATTGAAAGCAGCTGAGAGAGATCTTTACTGTTTTGTCAAATGTTTACGAGTACTTATCTATACTATAATCAAGGTCTGTATGTTTAATATAATATAGATCTGCATAGTGTTTATTCTTTTTTAACTCTGCTGGCAGAAAATGCGAGCTGTACACAATGGAGTGGAGTGGCCTGGTGGATCTCGCCAAACACACGGTGGCAGCATCCTCGTACGGAGGACCTATAGGTATCTATCTGTTCCTTTACGTTGTCAGAAGATACAAACACCATTAAAATAATGAATCATCTTTTAGCCGCTACATGTTGGGCTGAACACCATTAAAATAATGAATCATCTTTTAGCAGCTACATGATATATTTTGGATGGCTTTTACATATGTATAACATTTTCCCTGGACTGTATGGTTGAAGTCCATGTGCAAATACTCTGTTGTTGGACAAATCTTCTTTTTTTTAAAGTTCAGAGCTCTTAATCATCTGTGTATATCTTTGCCTGAATATTTTATTTCTCATGCCTCTCCATAACTAAACAATGATTCTGGTGGCACTAAAAATCGCTTTCCATCTTGCTATCTTATTCCCAGTCTAGGGAAATTACACTCCCTGAATTTGTATCATGATAGAAATCGTGTAGGATGGGAGTATTGTTGAAAAAGACGTCAGTATTTTTTAAGCTTTCAAGGTTCTCAGGGGAATGAAAGTGATCATTTCTTTCTATATGCTTTCCTAAAATTTTATGGGCCTTTGTCTCTGTAGCACTGATGAAGGATGACAGCAAGACTGCCCGAGTAACCACAACTATCAAGCCAGTGATCAGCGTGTATAATGCCGCCGGGAAATTGCTCAGTCAGATGAGGGTAAGTATTGTCTCCCTGAAAAAAGACGTCTGCCCTTTTGTGGGGGTGCGGACGATTGATTAGAGACCAAATTGAGAAATGAAGTGCCGCCTGATATTTTTTGTGAGATGTGGGATAGACTTGAGAGAGACGAGCTGGGACGCTGAATCCCTTTGACATTTACTGCTGCACAGGATTAGATGTTGTGTGAAAAGTTTTAAAGATAAAACAAATTTCATTTTTGAAGGCATCATATCAACATTTAAATAAAGTTGCTGATGAGGAACCTGACTTGATGCGATGTTTAAACTTTTTAGCGAATATTTTATTTTTCAATTGATACTGAAGTCATGTATCAAGGTCTTCCAGAGTGTAAATCAGATACAATTTATTGTTGCCTAAGTGTAACCAGGGCATCAGTAATGTGTGTTTCTTGTGAGAAAAATGAAAACATAGTACCTTCATCATCATCATCATCATCATCATCATTATCATCATCATCGACTAACAATTCCCCTTTTTCTAGTTTCGTTTTTCTAGAAAACATAACAGTTTGCACCATATCAATACATTTTTACGTAACCAACAAATATGGGCACCAAAATCAGGACACGAGACAAAAAACAAACAAAAAAACAGCCCCAAAACATTGTACTTATTATAGTGTGTGTGTCTGTGTGTGTGTCCCCACAGTGGAACAGCGGGACGGTGGTCACTATGGGCTGGTCAGCCACGGAGGAACTCTTGTGTGTGCAGGAGGATGGCGTCGTGCTGGTCTACGATATGTTCCTCACGTTTAAGAAAACCTTCAGCATGGGACAGGTACGTTTTGTCCTAGATTTATTTATTGTTTGTCTGTTTGAAGAAGTGAGAAAGGGAAAGATTATACAGGTATTTAGAAAAGGGAATGAGGAGGGGGAAAAAAGTTGATATTGTTGTTAGATAGACAGATAGATAGATAGATAGATATATATAGAGAGAGAGAAAGAAAGAAATGCAGAAAGGAGTTTAGAGTTTAAAAATCCTGAAATAGAAACAAGGGAACATAGGAGGTAAAGAGAATTTATGAGTAGGAAGACGGTGTAATGTCCATTACTATTAGGCAAACCACCTCTATTGCCTTAGTATTTAGGAAAACCTGGCAACTGTAACCACTGGCATGTTTTTTAGAGAAGAGTGGTCAGTAATAAAGCGTATGTCTACCGGTACAGTCGTGTCTGGCTCCTGTTGCTTTCAATGTCTGTCTAGATCTACATGTTGTGATTGTGATTTCCCGACAGTACAGACGGGAATAAAGAGAAGTACAGAAAGAGATGCAAATAAAGTGAAGACTTAAAAAGAATAAACGTTGAAAATGAGAAACCCCCCCCCCCCCCAAAAAAATTTCTCTCCTCCCAGGAAGCCAAAGATGTGAAAATCCTGGATGCCAAGATCTTTGCCAGCTTCCAGGGCACGGGCATCGCTGTCATGACGACCTCATTCCGCATCTTCCTCATCAGCAACGTGGACAGTCCTCGCATCGTGCGCCTGGCCGAGGTTCCAGGTGGGCACGGATCACTTTCATCATCATGATAATGATAATGATATTAATAATAATATTAATAAAAATGATAATATTGATAACAATAATGTAATAATAAAAATATCAATAATATGATAATGATGATAATAATAATAATAATAATAATAATAACAAATGATGATGATGATAATGATAATAATAATAATAATAATAATAACAAATAATGATGATGATGATAATAATTATAATAATAATAATAACAAATGATGATGATGATAACAATAATAATAATAATAATAATAACAATAATAATAAATAATCATAGTAATAATAATAATAATGATAATAATAATAATAATAATTTTTTAAAAATTAATAATGATAATAATAATAATTTGTTTTTAATTATGCAAACAATAATAATAATATTAATAATAATAACAACCATGCCATTGCTTGTCGCCCCTGTGCTGCGCCCAGTTTGTTGAGCTAGGGTTGTCGTGTTTTGCTCAAGGACAGTCTGCCTCGATAACCAAAATGAATAGGTTTATTTTGGTGATCAAGACTAACTCTATGATTTTACTAATTATCAACTCGTTTGGGCCACATTCATGATAAACAACTGAGTCGACTGGCAGGCGGTTGATTGCTCATGCTTGTTATACACGTTAGACACACATACAGAAACTGTAGGTGTGAAATATAAGCAAGGATACAGAATTTCATTACCTAACAATTTATAATAGAAATAAATAATAAATGACATTTATATAGCGCTCAACCCCAAGTAAAGTACACAGGCTCTGAGCACTTTACAATACAGTACAACATACAACAGTAACATGAAACGCTGTGTTCTGACTAAAGAAAATTATTCCAAATATTCATTTTATTAATTTAAAATAGAAATAACTTCAGCTGACTTTGAATGAATCAAAGGATTTGATCTCTCTTAAACTACTTGGCAAAGCATTCCAGATCTTGGGGCCTTGATATTCAAATGCCCTTTCACCCTTTGTTTTAAGTTTTATAGATGGAGACAAAAATTGTTTGCTAATGTCTATCGTCACTGCTGCAAAAAATATGTGTGAAAATCTGTTTGACCCTTTCCCGCAGAACGAGTAAATGACAATGACAGTGTGAATTCCTCACTTTTGTTGCCACGATTTACAGTATAACACAGATAGCTCGAATTCGTCGGGACTGGCCTCGCTAATTCGAGGGATTCGTAGTTATAGGTATATCTTACAAAGATAAAGAAGAAGAAAGAACCAGGACCGCAGACACAGTTCAACAGATCTGTGATTTCGAGTCTTCTGTGTTCGACCTATCCGTGTTATACTGTACCTTAAGTTCTGGCGTAGACTCAACAGTTAGTGCTCCCCTCTTTGTTCTCCCAGGTTTGAATGAAGCTCCGAACTGCTGGACGATCGTCGTGTCGGACCGACAGGCCCGCGCCCTGGTGGCCAAGGGCGGAGAACTCTACCTCGTCGACCAGGGAGGGCAGTTCCAGCAACAGGTTGGTGCGAAGTTTTTATTTTATTCGTTTTTTGTTGTTTTTTTTTGGGGGGGGGGGTTGGTCCCATGTCCTGATTTTGGTGCCGATATTTGTCAGTTACGTAAAAATGTATTGACACGGTGCAAACTGTTATGTATCAAGAACAAAGACCAAAAAAAACACAACAAGAAAAAGCGGAATTGTTTAGTCGGTGGTGATGATGATGATGATGAGATGATGATGATGATAACGGTGATGAGATGGAGATGATGATGCTGATGATGATGATGATGATGAGACGATGATGATAACGGTGATGAGATGGAGATGATGATGATGATGAGATGATGATGATGATGATGAAATGATGATGATGATGATGAAGAAGGTAGGTGCGGAGTGTGTACTGGAGCAGGGTCATGAGACATTGTCCAGCTCTCTGGGCTAGTGCTGTCAATAATTTGGTGTTTTTAAATACTCTTCCAAAGCAGGGCCAAAATTACAACTTGGCTCTTTTGATTGCAGCTGAAATTCCAGCAAGCTTAAGGCATTTTACGCTTTTATTTGGCTTAAATTTGGCTTTCTCAAATAACTATATGGGGCTTTTGTAGGGATAATGTTTTTCTGGGTTTTTACGGTTGTTTCTGTTATTTGACACTGAAATCCCTTTTCAAAACCTTGATTGTTCTCAGCATTTCTTTTCTGTTTAACCCCATATTAGTTGTTTATATTAACTGTCTTTTTGTGTGCAAATGCAACTTTGTAAATTTTCGGTCATTTTCATAAAATCCCAGTGGCATTGTTGATTTTTAACTGTTTGGAACCTATTATGTAGAGTTGTTGATTTTTTAAAAGATATTTGTGAACACTCACACAACACTCCTAATACGCATGCACACATGTAGACATGCACACCAACATGCTTTGCATATGTACAGAGTATACATGCATGCATTACATGTACACACATATATAAACACACAAAACTTTCTTACACTTTTACACACATACACACCTGTATACACACAAACCTACATCCTGTATGTCTCTCCCTCCCCGCCCTCCCCCCCCCACCTCCTCCCCCCCTCCCGCCATACCCTCACACACCAACCTCTCCACCCAGCAAGCAGAGCTGAGCGAGAACGCGGGTGACATCACAGAGCTGGCCGTGTCCTTCAACAACAAGTACCTGGCCCTCTGCACGAAGAACGGCGCCCTCTGGATCGGCTCGGCCGACCTTCAGGTGGGTCAGGAACGAACCACGAGTCAGTCACAGCTCGCCGCTAGCGCAGCATAAGAATAAGCCACTTAATCTGTGTGATGTTCAAATGAGAATTTAAGGTCTAAGAACTTCCCTTTTCTTCTTTTATAATGGTTGAGTTTGTTCAAGAAGTAATGTTGAATACTAAATTCTGTCTGAGCACAGAGAAATCCAACTTGATTCAAAACTTGATGACTTTTTATTTTGTATTTAATTTTGTTTGAGTTTATGTTCATACCCTCAGTGTCGGAAGTCCTGTATTCCTGTTGTTACTTCGTTAGTTTGAGTCTTGAAATGCATGGAAGTCTGAGCAACATTTAACAGTTCCCTACCTTTGTATAGTACGATATTTTTTTGGTTGACAGTGAGTCATAACAAGCGTATAATTACCATAAGGTCCTTTTTCTCGCTGCAGAAGAAGTACTGTGAGTTCAACACCAGCTCTCCGATGAAGCCGCAGCAACTTGTCTGGTGAGTGATTGTGGTAGACTGATGATGAAGATAATAATAATAATAATAATAATTGCATTTATATAGCGCATATCCATGCTCAAGAGCTTGCTCTATGCGCTTTACAACTATTATTACCCCAGCAGACCCTCTGAGAACACTCAGAAACATTCTCAGCTTCCGCGGAAGCATACAGTGCAAGCTGTGGATTTCACGCGCTCAAACACTATCAAACTGACAAGATCTTTCACTGTCTTTAAGATAAGATCAGATAAGACAAGAAAAGATAAGATAAGATAATACTTTATTATCCCAGAGGGAAATTTTTCTTGGCTATACAGGACGGTAAAAACACATGCAGGTATACGTTTAAAAAATCAAATTATATATTACTTTCATAAAAATTTCATTTTTGATATATATGTGAGGCAGCGTGGTGGAATCAGGCTCTCGTCAATTTTTGGGCATGTAGACTGTTATTGGTATCATCCTAAAGCTTTTTCACTTGTCTTTATTTGGATGAAAAAAATATCCATTTATCTTGAATACAAGTCGAGATATTAGCGAAAGAAGGAGGTGGGGGCACTTGTTTTCTGAGGTAAAATTAGTGAGAAAACGGCCGCCGAAGATTAGTTATTTCCTTAACTTAAGAGTCCGTGGTAACTGAAAATTTACATTTTTTGTGCCTTTATTCAACGTTTTTAAGAAAATTCCACACAGAAATTAGTTCTTTAATGGACATGAAAGGTGTTGACCCAAAAAACAAAGATTTTTAAAAAATTCACAAACCTGCGGAAAAAAGCAAATTTTCTTCATTTTGATTATTTTGACGAGAGCCTGATTCCACCACGCTGCCTCACATATATTACTCTCATAAAAATTTCAGTTTTGATATATGTGACGATCTGGTTGAGGTAAATTTGTTTGTAAGCCCTCAACAATTTTCCGTCTGATTTATCGTAAAGATCTGCCTCACTGCCAAACTCATATGGCGTCGGTGGCCTAGTGGTTAGGCTCTCAGGCTCGCAACCGTAAGGTCGTGGGTTCGAATCCTGTCAGGGGCCCGACGTTGTGTCCTTGGGAAAGGCACTTCGCACAAATTTTCCTCACTTCACCCAGGTGGAAATGGGTACCCGGCTATAGACAGTGAACGATCTTGTCAGTTTGATAGTGTTTGAGCGCGTGAAATCCGCAGCTTGCACTGTATGCTTCCGCGGAAGCCGAGAATGTTTCTGAGTGTAATCAGAGGGTCGGCTGGGGTAATAAGATATGCGCTATATAAATGCAATTATTATTATTATTATTATTATAAAGGCGTTGAGTTAAAGTGACCTTGTTTGGGACTTTGTGTTTTTTCCCAAGGTGTGTGGGTGGTTGGCGGGTGCTCTGGTGTGATTTGCTCCTTCTTTGCTATCAAGCATCTATACTCTCTTGTAAAACCTCTAATCTTCGGCACTTTATGACCTTGTTGTGTTGCAAGTGCCATAAAAATGTTACTAAAACAAACGTCCTGTTGAAGTCTCTACACTCTTACTTTTCTTCCCTCTGCTCCTATGCAGCTAGTTCCTTCAGTGTTCACCTTACTGCATTTGTAATTTCTGTTGAGAGGTTATGATTTACCTTTCCCTTGGGTTTTTTTCTGTTTTTTTTTTTCTATTCTCTTGCATTTTTGGTGGTGGGCACTTATATGACCTTATTGTGTTGCAATTGCCGTAAAACTCTTACTAAAACTACCCCCTCCCCCACCCCCAGGTGTGGCAACGGAGCTGTGGTGGCCCTGTGGGACAAACTGATCCTGGTGGTGGGGCCAGACAAAGACTGGATCAAGTGAGTCGTGGCCGTGGTTGTAGTTGTTGTTTTTGTGGTGACGTTACTATCATTACTACTATTATTATTATTACTATAAAAAGAAATTAGAAAACACAGGTGTTAACGTCAATTTAATATCATGGATAGGCAATTTTCTTACCAACCGAACCCAGTATGTAAAATTAAAACATTCTTCATCGACATACATCACAACAAATACAGGGGCCCCTCAAGGATGTGTTTTGTCACCAGTTTTATTCACACTATACACGAACGATTGCCAAATAAACAACAATAACATCAAGTTGATAAAATTTGCAGATGATTCAACTATAATTGGGCTAATTCAGGCTGACCAAAACGAAACCGCTTACCGGAATTTTGTACTTAATTTTTCTGAATGGTGTGAAAATCATAAGCTACTTTTAAATGTGAAAAAAACAAAAGAACTTGTCGTTGATTTTAGAATAAAGAAACTGCCCCTGCAGCCACTCAAAATGAAATGTGAAAACATCGAGCAAGTGTCAGACTATAAGTATTTGGGTGTTACAATAGACAACAAACTCAACTGGCGTGTCCACACTTCTCTCCTGCATAAAAAAGTGAACAAAAGACTATTTTTTCTTAGAAAGCTAAAGTATTTTAAAGTTGATAAAACATTGATGTCCATGTTCTACCATTCAACCATAGAAAGTATTATCGATTTTTGTATAACAGCATGGGCCGGGAACACAAGACAACAAGATAAAGAAAAATTAAATCGACTAATACGGAAAGCATGCAAAATTTCAACATCTTCATTTCCCTACTTGGATGAATTGTACATAACAGCTTGCACTAAGAAAATTAATTCCATCTTTTTAGACAACAAACATCCCTTGTTCCCTCAAATAAAAACATCAGTCAGAAGTAAAAGACCCATGCTTCTGATCTGTAACAAAGAAAGATACAGAAGGTCATTTTTACCATCATCTATCAAAATGCTTCCATCTTAACCATCTTGTTTAGTGTACTAACGACCTTAGAGCATGCATCAAAATAACATTGAGTGTGTATCTAGCTTACGATTATCATTGTTTATGTTGCTGCTCATTTATATTATGTATGTGATTGTAAGCCTACTTGTGTGTGCATGTGCGTGCACGTGTGTGCGTGTGTGTGTGTGTTTGTGTGTGTGTGTGTGTGTGTGTGTGTGTGTGTGTGCGTGCGTGCGTGTGTGTGTGTGCGTGTGTGTGTGTGTGTGTGTGTACTCGTGATGGAACACCAAACCAATGTGCCAGGATCTGGACAATAAAGATGTATCTTATCTTATCTTATCTTATCTTATAATTATTATTACTATCATTGTTATTATCATTATTATTATTGTTATTATTGTTATCATTATCATTGTTATTATTTTTGTATTATTATTATTATTATTATTATTATCATTAGCATAATTATTATCACTATTATTATTATTGCTGTCTTTATTATTATTATCATTATTATTGTTATTATGATTATCGTTATTAGTATCATCATTATATCATTATTATAATAATTATTATTATCATTATTATTTATATCATTATCATCATTATCATCATCACTAGGTACAACATGGACTGCTCGGTACATCTGCTACAGGAGGAAGACGGGCTGAGGATCATCGGCAACGACACTCACGAGTTTCTGCAGAAAGTTCCAGGTACGCTTTTGTGTGCAGTCCTTGCTCTTGTACAGCGTCGGTGGCCTAGTGGTTAGGCTCTCGGACTCGCAACCGTAAGGTCGTGGGTTCGAATCCCGTCAAGGGCCCGACGTTGTGTCCTTGGGAAAGGCACTTTACACAAATTTCCTCACTTCACCCAGGTGGGAATGGGTACCCGGCTATAGACAGCGAAAGATATTGTCAGTTTGTTAGTGTTTGAGTGCTTAATCGGCTGCTTGCACTGTATGCTTCCCGGGAAGCTGTGAATGTTTCTGAGTGTTCTATGGTCTGCTGGGGTAATAATGTAGTGTAAAGCGCATAGAGCCTGCTGTTGAGCGGGAATATGCGCTATACAAATGCTATTTATTATTATTATTAGGGTTCCTGTAGCCTCCTTGAATTCAATGAGTCCTTGAATATTCCTTGAATTTGCATTCAAGGAAAAATCTCCCTGAAAACTCCTTGATTTTGAGGAACCCCCCTGAAAACTCCTTCAATGTGAGGAACCTCCCTGAAAACTTGAATTTGAGGAACCTCCCTGAAAACTCCTTGAATTTGAGGAACCTCCCTGAAAACTCCTTGAATTTGAGGAACCTCCCTGAAAACTCCTTGAATTTGAGGAACCTCCCTGAAAACTCCTTGAATTTGAGGAACCTCCCTGAAAACTACGGCCGATTGGACTTGAAAAAAAATTTTTTTGTTGGATTGCTCTTCGCACACCATCGAAAACAGCATGAATTTTAATTTTTAAGATTTCTCCTTGAAATCTCCTTGAAGTTGGTGGGGAGTTTTTGGCAGGAACCCTAGACTTAGTCGCTCGACACAAGCGTGCAAAATAGTCTAGGTTATTCGAGGGCCATCAAGTAAACTATGGTAAGTCAAGTTTTTCAAATTTTACAGAAGAGACAAAAAGCGGATTTTCTTGAAGCGTTTTGGGTGGAGGAATTTCATTTTGATAAGGGAGCCTACAAATGCCATGACAGACTGGGTTTTTTTTTTCTATTCTCTTGCTTTTGGGGGGGGGGGGCACTATATTTGGTGAGCCTCCAGTCAGTGAAGATACTGGACATGTCATTTTGACACTCAATGTTTTATTTTGGTGTATTTTTTGTTTTAGTTATGTGGCTGTCGGTTGCCTGGAGTCCTTTCTCTAGTCTTGGTCTTGAGTTTGTGATGGGTTTAAAAACAAAATAACTCTTTTCTTACGTTGTTCAATGTGTCTTTTAAAGAACAGAAGAACGTTCAACCAGATGTGCAGTGGCACAAATTAGTAGAAAGACCCTCAGTGGCTTTTTGGAGAGAGCAACAGAGCATCAATGGACGTTTTCGGAATGCAAGTTTTCGGAATGCAAGTTTTCAGAATGCAAGGATATTGCTTTCTGAAACAATGAACAATGAATTCTTTCGAAAAAAAACCCAGTTCTCTCTCTCATGTGTATTTTCTTCCAGCGGTGACGGAGCAGATCTTCAAAATCGGCTCCATGGAGCCCGGAGCCATGCTCTATGAGGCCAGCAAGGAGTTCCAGGTGGGTGGCAACGACATAGCGTGACCTCAGTGTTTTCTTGTCCTATCTCCTTTTTTAATAACAGTGAGAACAGTTCACAACAAAGAGTGGGCTGAAGAAGAAGTAATATTTTTCTCTGTTAAAAAAAAATGGAGATACAACAAGAAAGCACGTTAGAGGGGGAGGGGGCGGGGATCTGCTCACTAATTGTGGCTTCTTAAAGCCTGTCCATTTGCCTTTCTTTTGATGAAAAAAATATCCATTTATCTTGGATACAAGTCAAGATATTGGCAATTGAAGGAGGTGGGGTTCACCTGGTTTCCGAGGCAAAATTAGTGAGAAAATGGCCACCAAAGTTGACTTATTTCCTTAGCTTGAGAGTCCTTGGAAACTGAAAATGTCCATCTTTTATTTGCTTTAATCAACATTTTTTCAGTGAAATCCACGTAGAATTGTGTGTTCTTTAATGGGCATGAAAGATGTTGAGCCAAAAAACGGAAAATTTCATAAAAATTCCGAAACCTGCAGAAAAATGCCAGTTTCTTGACTTTCATTATTTTGATGAGCGCCTGATTTACTGCGTCATAAATCATTTTGTTTTTGTCCTTCAGAAACGCAACCAAAAAGCGGACGAGTACATCCGGATGATCAAGGACAAACTGGAGGTGGCTGTCAATCAGTGTATCCAGGCCGCCGGTCAAGAGGTGGAGCCAGGGAAACAGAGGACACTGCTGAGGGTGTGTGTGTGTGTGTGTGTGTGTGTGTGTGCGTGTGTGTGTGTGTGTGTGTGTGTGTGTGTGTGTGTGTGTGTGTGTGTGTGTGTGTGTGTGTCAATCAGTGTATCCAGGCCGCCGGTCAAGAGGTGGAGCCTGGGAAACAGAGGACACTGCTGAGGGGGTGTGTGTGTGTGTGTGTGCGTGTGTGCGTGTGTGTGTGTGTGTGTCAATCAGTGTATCCAGGCCGCCGGTCAAGAGGTGGAGCCTGGGAAACAGAGGACATTGCTGAGGGTGTGTGTGTGTGTGTGTGTGTGTGTGTGTGTGTGTGTGTGTGTGTGTGTGAGGTTTACTCTGAGTAGTCATATTACTGTTGTAAATTGCTCAGAGCTTATACTAGTATGAGATAGAGCTCTATATAAATGCAGTCGGGAAGACCAAAGATGACATGGAGACGAGCGGTACAAGCTGAAATTGAAAAAGCGGGGACGTCATGGAAACAGATGGAAAAGGATGCTCAGGACAGGCTTCGCTGGAGTAATGCTGTTGATGGTCTGTGCTCCACTGGGAGTTACAAAGGGAAAGAGAGAGAGAGAGATAAATGCAATCTGTTATTATTTTTTATATTATTATTATTATTATTATTATATCTGATTGCCAATGCTCTCTCAAAAAAAGCTGCTAGGGACTGTATGAATACAGAAGCCTGGCAAGTGGGGGGTTACTTGCGAAGTCGTATGAGCCTCCTGGAATGTACACGACTGTAAGTAACAACAGTTTTTACTCGAGTTTTTGTTTCAGAAATACGGTTTTTCCGCTATTTCCGCTTTTTTCCGTTATTTTGGGCATTGTCCGTTCGGATCTTTGTCATATTGTTGAACTGATATGATTTGTGAGGCAGCGTGGTGGAATCAGGCTCTCGTCAATTTTTGGGCATATTGAGTTATTGGTATCATCTTAAAGCTTGTTCATTTGTCTTTGTTTGGATGAAAAAATATCCTTCTATCTTCAATAGAAATTGAGATATTCTGGATTGACGGAGGTGGGGGTCACCTGGTTTAAGAGGTAAAATTAGCGAGAAAATGGCCTTCAAAGCTGGGTAAATTCCAAAGCTGGAGAGTCCATAAAAATTGTAGATTTATATTTTTGTGCCTTTAATCAACGTTTTTCAGTGAAATCCTCAAAGGAATGTGTTTGTAAATGGACATAAAAGTTGTTGAGCCAAAAAACAAAAATTTTATAAAAATTGCTAAGCAGGGAGAAAACTGCTGTTTTCTTCAATTTCATTATTTTGACGAGAGCCTGATTCTGCCACGCTGCCTCACATTTTGTTTTTGTTGCATTTAATGCTTCGTCACATGAATGCTAAATCAAGTCTCGAAAAAAAATTTGTCAGTTATTTTTACAAAAGTCACGTGGCATCCCTGTTGTTTTTCTTTGCCTCAGGCTGCGTCGTTCGGAAAGTGTTTCCTCACAGACTACCGGCCGGAGCTGTTCGTCAACATGTGTCAGATGCTGCGCGTGTTGAACCAAGTGCGTCATCACTCTGTGGGGATTCCCCTTACCTACACACAGTATCCTTGTGCCTTGTGATTTTGTGATTGTGGGTGGTTGGTGGGTGCTTTGGTGTGCTCTGCAGCTCCTTCTTTCCTATCAAACGTCTATCGTTCTTATCTCTCCTCCTACGCGTGTTGAACCAAGTGCGTCATCACTCTGTGGGGATTCCCCTTACCTACACACAGTATCCTTATGTTGTGATTTTGTGGTTGTGGGTGGTTGGCAGGTGCTGTGGTGTGTGGTTTGCTGCTCCTTCTTTCCTTACAAACATCTATCGTCAAAATCTCTCCTCCTTCTTTTTTTTTGTGCTTGTTACTTGCTCTCTTGTAACACCTTTCATCTTTTTCGGCACTTATAATTTATTAACCTTTTGTGTTGCAAGTGCCGTAAAACTCTTACTAAAACTAACTCACCCCTTGGCGGTCGTATGGCCTTATGCAGTTGCGAGCGCTGTAAAACCGTACTAAAAATACTAAAAAAACACAGGGTCTTTTTGTCCATTTTAAAATGACTCAATAGGGTTTTTTTAGTTGAATGTCGTACATGAACAAGAAAGGACATAGCAAAAAAAGACCTGAAATGAATATGAATGAGCTTGATGATCGACCTCTCTCAAAAAGGGCGGCGAGACTTTTTCCTTGACTCGTACCCCTCAGACTGGAGCACCTGTCGATGCCCGTGCTGATCGACCGACTCGTGCTGCGGAAGTTGTTCGGGCTGTCTGTCCGCATCTGCCAGTATCTCAAGATCCCCGACGCTGAAGGTCGCAGTCGCATCCTGGCGCACTGGGCGTGTTTCAAGGTCAATGGCTGTGATAGATAGTTGTCATGGGATGATCGGGCATTAGAAAAATTTGACTGTGTGGTTTTGTTAACTTGTGTTACTCTAACATTTGTGTACACACACACACACACTCACACACACACATACACACACACACACACGCACACACACACATACACACACACACACACACACATACACACACACACACACACACACACACACACTCAAAATATTCTCAAACCAAAACCCATCTCAATCAGAAAGGAACACCACTCATATCCTGTGAAATACCACCATATCTATCCACTATCATCCAGACGCTTTTTATTTGTGAGGCAGCGTGGTGGAATCAGGCTCTCGTCAATTTTTGGTCATATTGAGTTATTGGTATCATCTTAAAGCTTGTTCATTTGTCGTGCTTTCAATGAAAAAATTACCCATCCATCTTCAATAGAAGTGGAGATATTTTGGATTGAAAGAGGTGGGGTCACCTGGTTTAAGAGGTAAAATTAGCGAGAAAATGGCCAAAGCTGGAGAGTCCATAGAAATTGTAATTAATATATATTTTTGTACCTTTAATCAACGTTTTCGGTGAAATCCTCAAAGGAATGTGTTTGTAAATGGACATAAAAGGTGTTGAACAACAACAAAAATTGGATAAAAATTGCTAAGCAGGGAGAAAACTGCTGTTTTCTTCGATTTCATTATTTTGACGAGAGCCTGATTCCACCACGCTGCCTCACATTTCAGTTTCACTTCCTGTATGTCTTTGTGTGGGGGTTTTTTTGGGGGGGGGAGTTAATTTTAGGACTCTGCAGTAGGTGGTTGGCGGGTGCTCTGCTGTGGTTTGCTTCTTCTTTCCTATCAAACATCTATCATCCTTCTCTCTCCTCCTCTTTTTTTGTGTATGTTACTCTCTTGTCACACATCTAATCTGCTGCTCTTATAAGACCTGATTGTATTGCAAGTACCGTAAAACACTTACTAAAACTAAAGTTTCACTTCCTGTCTCTCTTTTTGTGTTATTTTGGGGGGGTATTTTTTAAGGATTCTGCAAGCTGTTTAATTGAAAGTGGGCACTTCTAAGATAAGAACCTTTTTCTTGTTGAAAGGATCCTGGGCGGTGCTACTGACTGAAAGGTCTTTAGGTATTCCCAAAAGGGGGACATTAATATGTTCTTATGCACAGTAGAATTATAAATTGTAAATGGACGGATTCATCAATGTCATGCTCATAACTGTGCCTGATCTACAACAGGGAACTGCTGCTTTTTCTTTCTTAATCCTTACTATTGTCATTTTTCCTCTACTTCTCTTGTATGTTTGTCACTGTCTTGTGACCTGCTATTTCCGTGGTGTCTTGATAGTCGAAGCAGACTTTGTGCTGTTGAAACTAGAGAGGTGAGCAGAGTAAGTCTGATTCTCTGTTTGGAATTCTCTGTTGACATCCACCCCTTGGCGCTCGTATGACTTTATGCTGTTGCGAGCGCTAAAACTAAAACTAAAAACTGATTGATGATGCGTGGGGTTCTGTTGTAGGTCCAGCAAAAACACGAAGATGAAGAGAAGCTGGCTCGGGCGATCTCGCAGAAACTGTTGGATGTACCTGGCGTGTCTTTCTCCGAGATTGCCAGTCAGGCCTTGGAACATGGCCGCAAACAGCTGGCTGTCAAGGTAAGCGTCGACGATTTGATCGGGTTCTCATTTATCGTAGTGGGTGGTTGGCAGGTGCTCTAGTGTGGTTTGCTCCTTCTTTCCTATCAAACGTCTATCGTCCTTATCTCTCCTCCTTCTTTTTTATATTTGTTACTCTCTTATAACACCTCTAATCTTCAGCACTTATATGACCTTATTGTGTTGCATGTGCCGTAAAACTTTTACTAAAACTAAATTCATCTATCGGGGTTGTTTTTTTTTACTCACCCTGTACCCAGTAGATGGGTGTCTGACTATGCTTTTCGTCTAGGTATGTGGCTTTTTTTTTTCTGATCATACATCTGGGATTCGTGTCCTTCATTCTTATGGTTCACGACTGTGAGTTTCTTGTTTCTATAACTCTGTTTGTCTTCTGTTTTACAACTCTGTCTGTCAGTATAACTCTGTATGTCTGCCTGCACATGTCAATCTGTCTGTTTGTACCCCCTGGGGTAGCGCTACTGACTGAAGTTGTCTTTTGGCCATTCACAAAGGGGGGATATTAACATATTATTTTGCACAGTAGAATTGTGAATGGGCTGATTTATCGATGTCATGCTCATACTGTACCAGAACAACATAGGGGGAACTGCTGCTTTTTCTTTCCTCATCCCTGCTATTGTCATTTTCCTCTACTTCTTTTGTATGTTGGTAACACTCTTGTGAACTGCTATTTCCCGGGTGCCTTGATAGTTGAAGCAGACCTTTTGCTGTTAAAGCTAGAGAGGTGAGTAGAGTAAGCCTGATTCTCCGTTTGGACTTCTCTGTTGACATCCACCCCTTGGCGCTCATATGACCTTATGCAGTTACGAGCGCCATAAAACCTCTACTAATCTAAACTAAACTCTCTAACGCCACCTATCTGACATATACAGCTACTGGACTATGAGCCCCATGCCTCAGAGCAGGTCCCACTATTTCTGTATAAGTCTGTCTGTCTGTCTGTGTGTATACCTGACATATATATATATGTGAGGCAGCGTGGTGGAATCAGGCTCTCGTCAAAATAATGAAATCGAAGAAAATGGCAGTTTTCTCCCTGCTAAGCAATTTTTATCAAATTTTTGTTTTTTGGCTCAACACCTTTTATGTCCATTTACAAACATTCTTTTCTGGATTTCACCGAAAACGTTAATTTAAGGCACAAAAATATAAATATACAGTTTCCATGGACTCTCCATCTTTGGAATTTACCAAGCTCTGGCGGCCGTTTTCTAGCTAATTTTACTTCTTATATCTGGTGACCCCCACCTCTCATCAATCCAAAATATCTCCACTTCTATTGAAGATGGATGGGGTATATATCATTGAAAGCAAGACTAATGAACAAGCTTTAAGATGATACCAATAACTCAATATGCCCAAAAATTGACGAGAGACTGATTCCCTCACGCTGCCTCACATATATATATATACATACAGCTACTGGACTATGAGCCCCGTGCCTCGGAGCAGGTCCCACTTTTGCTGAAGATGGGACAGGACCAGACGGCCTTGACCAAAGCTATCGACAGCGGAGACACAGATCTAGGTTAGTCACTGTGTCTTTGTGGGTATGTGTGGGTCCATCTGTGTGTGCGGGTGGTTGGCGGGTGCTCTGGTGTGGTTTGCTCCTTCTTTCCTATAAATCATCTATCGTCCTTATCTCTCCTCCTCCTTTTTTATGTATATTACTCTCTTGAGACACATCTGTTCTTCGGCACTTATATGACCTTATTGTGTTGCAAGTGCCGTAAAGCTCTTACTAAAATTACACATCTGTGTGCATGTAATTTTCCATGGATCTTCCATGTCCGTGGAAAAACACATTTCTGTGTGGATTTTAATGAAAAATGTGGATTAAAAGCACGAAAAAATGTAAATTCTTACATTCCAAGGACTCGTAAGTATGGAAGTCAATTGCAAATATCTCAACTTCTGTTCAAGATAAATGGGGGGTTTTATTTCATCGAAAGCAAGATGAGCTTTAAGATGATACCAATAACCTCACATACCCAAAAATTGTTGAGAGCCTGGTTCCACGCGTGGTGTGCATTGCTAGTGCTGAAAGACTTACTAAAACTTGTGGCGACGCAATTTGAAGGTCATGGGTTCGGATACCTTCAGGGACCCGACATTGTGTCCTTGGGAAAGGCACTTTACTCGAATTTTCCTCACTTCACCCAGGTGGGAATGGGTACCCAGCTATAGACAGTGAAAGATCTTGTCAGTTTGTTAGTGTTTGAGCACTTAATCTGCTGTTTGCACTGTATGCTTCCCGGGAATCTGAGAATATTTCTGAGTGTTCTATGGTCTGCTGGGGTAATAATAATATAGTGTAAAGCGCTTACAGCTTGCTGTCGAGCGGGTATGTGCACTATACAAAATTAAATGCTATTTTTTATTATTATTATTATTATT